AGAAGTCCATGCCACCTGTAGTGTTTGTATATAAATAGACCTGATCGGTCTTATCAAAGGTCTTTAACACTTATAATTTCACCTTAAATCCTTGAACGAGTTTCTCCTTGTTAATTCTAGAATTTCCTTGATGCTTCGTTGAACATCCTCAATCGTCGGTGATAATGGCCTCGAGAAGTTTTCGTCTGGGGGAGAATGAGGGGGCGACTCACGATGTGTCACCGTCTGGTTCAACATCTGCATCACCGTCAACGTCACCATCACAGACGTCTAGTCGTCGAGGTAAGCAACGTTAATGTTTACTTGTTTTGATGAGTTTTTTCAAAACCCTAAATGGGTTCTAGGTTGATGATGATGAAGACTGTTCATCTTCTAAACTCATAACACAGAGGTGGGTTTCCATGTTGATTTGTGAGACGAAGGGTCAATAACTAAAATGCGAATTCAATTTACTACATTTGGAAAATATAACGCATGTTTAAATCTCTACGTTTAAAAATGGAACGCAGGTTTAGACCTCTACATTCGAGTTAATTCAATGCGGGTCTAGACCTTTGCGTTCGAATTAGTATTTTATACTTTCAGGAAGTTTTATTAAGTTCAACTTTGCTTGTTTTGTAGCGCAAGACGAGGTCCCTACCACTGAGCATGTCATCATATATGAATCAAGGTATGTTCCTCGGATCCAACCCATAACCATGATCTTTCCCGACAAAAATCATGAGAAGGTGATTCCCGAGTCTTATTATTTAAACCCCGAATGTACTCTCTTCCTGCACAAATGCTTGGAAAATATGGTGAAACAAGCTTTCTCTATTGTGGAGCATAGTTGGGATTCTTTCTTTGAGTTCCATACTCTAATTGTGGATGGCTTACATGCTCTCGATCACGTCAATCATCGTCGTGCTCTACGTTGTGTGGGGATAATCCCCTACTAAACAGGCACTGTTCATTTCGTGGAACAACTAAGGTGCACTGAGTTGAGTCCTAAGATACAACAAGCCATAGGTGTCTCTCAGACGAAGAAGATGATTGACGATAAAGCTCAATGTCAGAGCATACCAGAAAAGAAGGCCTTAATCTGGAGCCTGCAGAAGCAACGCCGTCATGCAAGGACCAGGCTTGTTGTAAGGGAGTTAACCCCAGAAGAGTTTGACCTTGGGGATGCCACTCTTTATGTGTTGTTCAAGCAAAGAAGGAAGCTCTTCAAATGTTGCAACAGGAAGCCACTGCTACTGCTGCACTCCCTGATGATCAACTACGGAAGAAAGTTGAAGAATAAGTGTTGGCGGAGCATGCGAAATGCATATCCAGAACTAAAGCTCACCTTTCAACTTTTCACTTATAAAACACTTGATATTTTAGACTCAAGCAACACTTACTTTTGGTTTTGTAATAACTTTATGTTATTTCTCAAAACACTTATTATCTGCCTGTGATGAGCTGCTGATATTTTCTGCTTTTTTATTACTTCTTCTTTGTTGTGTTTGGACTTTTGAGATGCCATTAGCCATCATGTTGAATTATAAATTCTCTTCATTATCACTTAGAATAATTCTAGAAAATTTCAATCATCAGGGGTGTGATGTTAACTTAATGATATACAAGCTGGGGAAGGTTTACAATGATTTATTCTCCCTATACAAATGAATTTCGAGTAATCAACCCCAAGTCTAAATAAAATTAATTTCTCATCTTAGACTTGCAAGGGAAAGTTAACATGATTTGTTACTCTCTATTCAATGAAACGCGAAAAACCAACCCCCAGCCTAGGGAAAGTTGATTCATTATTTCAGACTTGGCTGGGAATTAGGAGAAAGGGAGCTCCATGGCCTACGGGTAATATTTCTTGAGAAATTTCCTATTAATAGGCATCATGAGCATGCCGCCTTTCTGGTTGATGAGACAGTAGACTAATTCTATTATGAAGGGTCCTTTCCACTTGGGATTAAATTTTTCCTTGATCTTGTGCGTCATCATCATAGGTCATCTGACAGCTAGGACCAAATCGCCTTTCTTGAAGATTCTCTCTTTGACCTTCTTGTTGTAAACTTTGGAGATTTGAGCTTGATACAACTCAATCTGTTGCTGAGCCTGAAGTCGCATGTCGTCTAATACTTCAAGTTCTTGAAAACGCAATTGATGTTGTTCTTCACCTGTCATCCCAATTGCAAGAGCAACTCTTAGAGACAGGATCTAGATTTCCAATAGTAATATGGCTACGCAGCCATATACCAAAGAGAATGGGTAGCTTTTGTAGGGGTCTTCACCATTGTGCGGTAGGCCCACAAACATTCGCCAAGCTTTTTATCCCAATCACGTCGGCTCTTGGAGACGAATTTCTTGAGGAGTTTCACGATGGTTTTGTTGAAAACTTCCGCGAGGCCATCAGCTGGCGAATAATATGCCATCGATACGACACTCTGGATTCTAAACTTGTCGCAAAATCTTTAAAAACCGTGACTGACGAACTGTGTTCCATTGTCATGGACTATTCATCTTGGTACACCGAAGTGGTAGATAACATGATGTTTGATGAACTTGATTATGTTTGAAGCTTTGACTTCTTTCAACGGAATTGCCTCTGCCCACTTGGAAAAGTAATTGGTCACTGCCAAGATGAACCGATGTCCTTTGGCCGTTGGTGGAGTGATGGGTCAAACAATATCCATTCCCCACATCTCAAATGGCCAAGATGCCAATGTTGGGTGTAGGTTCCCTGGTGCCTAATGAATAAAGTCATCGTGGATTTGGCATGCGTGATAACATTTAGCGTAGTCGACAGAATCTTAAAACATCTTTGGCCAATAATAGCCAATTCGTCAGAGACGGTCTCCTAACTTAGCTCCGGGTTGATGAGCTCCACACATCCCATCATATTTTGGTTCGGTTTGAACTTGAAACCGAACTAGTTTAGACCAGACCCGAACCTAAGTCCAGACTAGACCGAACCCAGATTGAACTAAAATAGAACCCCCTACAGACCAAACCCGAACCGAATTTGAAACAAACCAAAACCGAATTTGAAACAGACTAGAATTGAATCTAAACCAGATCCGATTGAACCCAAACAGATCTGACTGAACCAATTCAACCCAAACCAGACAAGTACAGATTACCCAGACTAAACCAGACCAAACCAAATTTTATTGTAACCAGTCTGGAACAAACTTAAATACAATTCAAGCCAACTTTTGTCAATACCTACTTGAAGCCCTTGTACAAAAGCCTGCCATATGTTCCAAGTCTTTATAGATGGAAGCTTTACATTTACATATTAATTTGTTAACTATAGACTAGCTACTGGTTTTAGGATCATAAACCTCATTTATGACTTGTTTATATGAGTCTAACCCTTTTAAGAACCACTTCTCATTGTGGACAACTCCAGTACAGGGAACAATCCCGGGGACCATCTCTATAATCAGAGTGGCGCAACGGAAGCGTGGTAGGCTGTGCATGAATAGATATATTATTACGATATGGATTAGAACCATGATTTAGAGACATATGAATTATTGATTTGTACTTGTTATGGATTCATGAATTTGGAGAGTTCATGTTTTACGGGATATTGTGCCATAGGAACTCAAGTACTTAAATAGGCAAGACTGGTCTGAAATTGATTTTAGAGATCACCTAAAAGGTCATGAGTAGATTAAAATCGGTTTATACATATAGTATTTATTTGGTTTGATATTGTGTTTGACATGAATGACTTTATGAAAAATTGTTACTTGATCACCTAGATTGTTATCCAATAGGAGAGACTGTGCATGAAGACGACTCCTGTTAAAAATTATGATTTATAAGCGTACGTTCATAGCATGGCTATGCTTTCGTTATTGATATCCCGATATGAGATTTTCCTTGGATATTACTATTGTAGCATTGACTATACGATGCACCCATCTTAATTGGACATATTTCGGATCACGGTTATTTCCATAGTTTTTACAGAAGTCGTTCCATGTTAACTCTATGGTTAGTGCATAATATTTTATGCACAGTCACAAAAATTTAACTGACAAATATAGGGTTAATTAAGGGGAATTGGACGGAAAATATGAAGTGTATATAAGTGGTTCATGTACATATTGATATGATAAATGATAGGGACAAAAGCCAATACTTGTCGCCGTATTCCCGGGACGTTTTACGGGAAAGCCGATTTATATACATGATATCATTCTCCTCTAATTCAAACAACATGTAAATTAAGAATAATGTATTTGTGTGCCTTGTGGTAGACTTTGTTTGATATTTGCGATGAGGATTTTTCTTATATCACCTTGAATTTAGATTTCATATTTTGTTTATACTTGCCACATACACTTACACGAGCACAATTTTCTCATTTTTCATGCTTGCTGGGAGTTTTCTGACTCCCCTGGGGTTTGTTCGCTCTAGATTCGGGAGCCGTTCTTTCTTCGCAGGACCAAGAGTATTTCGAGGGGCAGCCTCAGCAATAGTGATCACTTGTTGTCATATCTGTTCTCTACCTTGTATTAGGTAGTTATATCGTTATGAGACTTGTCATGTAATAAACTTTGGGTATTTCAGACTATAATGTATCGATCCTCTTTCCTACTTTGGACAATTAAGGACATGAAAGAGAACTTTGTCTGGTTCAGATTTCATTATCTATCGATTTCCCTTTGTTATCTTAGTTACATGCTCTATGTAGAAGTTCTTGTAGGCAATATATATGTATTCAGGATGATCCAGAGGCATAAATGTGACCGAATGGTTGTATTGTCGGTCGAGTCACGTCCTAAAGTATTTTATTTTGGTACCGGGGCATGACAAGGTTTTTATTTGGCATCAGAGCTAGGTTTAGCAATTTTTGTCTTATCCTGTATATAAGTAAAACTAAGATTAGACAGCAAGATAGAGCATGTATAGAATAGGTTCCTTCCTTTTCAGAATTTTGTCCTTTGACTCCCAATACCCTGATTCTCAAGTCCTAATCTTGACAAATCTCACTTTAGGTGATCACTATGGCCCCAAGACGTCGACCCCCTACTCTAGTTGTCCCTGAGGGAAACCAAGCTAATCAGGCAGAGCTTGCAGAAGCAATAAGGGAGCTGGTAGCTCATAATAGTTAGAGGGATGGGCAGCATCAGGTTGTCAGGTCGGGTAATGTGTTCGATTTTTAGAAGCTCAACCCGCAACACTTTGCTGGGACTGAAGGCGGATATGAGGCCGAGATGTGGTTGCTGACCATGGATCGCTTATTAAGGGTAGCAAAAATACCAGACAAAGACTGAGTAGATATTGTACAGCTACAACTCGTTAATGTGACAAGGACCTAATGGGACGCAGTGGAGGAGAAGTTGTCTCAGCGAATTTCATGGGAGACATTTCAGGAGAATTTTCTAGAGACATTTCCCCCAAAGATAGCTCGTCTTGAGATACAGAGGTAGTTTGCAATGCTGAGACAACAAGCTAATACTGTAGATGAGTATGAAGCCGAATTTGCCAAGCTCAGCTGGTTTGCTCCTGGGATGGTGTCAAATGAGGTGGATAATGGACAAAGGTTCATGCAGGGTCTAAATTTTGATATCCAGACTTAGATTTACAGTCAGAAGGGGGTAGATACCTATGCTGATGTCCTAGAGACAGCTCGAAAAGAAGAACAAGTGATTAGGATCATGAACTCGGTGAGGAGAGGGGCCAACAAGCGCCCTGCAGGATAGACCTCGGGGAGTAACCAGCAGAAACCTCAGACGGGAGGAGCACCAGCTAAGCGCTAGCAGATAGGAACTTTGAAACCAGCTCCACAACCAACCAACATGATTTGCCATTATTCTAAAAAAGCCGGGGCACTTGATGAAGGATTGTTGGAAAGCTAACGGGTTGTGCATAATATGTGGGGCAGCAGATCATCATCTTACCACTTGTCCTAGTAGAAGAGTTCCAGGAAGAGGAGCTTCAGGTGGAGCGATAGTACCAGCAGGTCAGACTAGACAGGGTGGACAATAGTGGAGGTCGTCCATACCTACGCAGCAACAGATGTTCCAAGGACATCATAGGGGTCAACAATTTCAAGGCCAGAGACTGTGGAGAGGTCCCCATTTTTAGCACTCATACTAGCCGCAATATCAGCAGAGGCGCCCAGGGTAATACGGTCAGTAAGCTCAGCAGCAACAGAGACAAGGTTAAGTTTTGACACTTACTGCTGAGTAGGCAGACACATCTGATGATGTAGTCATAGGTACCATTTTGGTTTATTCAATCCCTGCATTTACCCTATTTGATTCTGGGGCGTCGCACTGTTTTATATCTGCTCAGTTCATTGCACGACACACTATACCATGTGATAATTTAGATGTAAGCTGGAATATCCATACCAGTAGTAGGGTGTTAACGTCTAGTAGGGAGTGTAAGAAATGCCCAGTGGTAGTTTGTGGTATGGAGCTATTTGCAGATTTGTTGGTAATTGACACTAATGGGTTCGATGTTATTTTGGGGATGGATTGGCTCTACAACTTTCATGTGAGAATCGACTACCAACGTAGAAGCATAGTGTTCAAGATACTAGATCTCCCAGACTTCGAATTCATGAGTGGTAGTAAAGTGATGAAGCATCTAGAGTATCGAGCCGACAAGGAAGGAGTAGTAACTTGTATAGAGGTTGAGGAGAAGCATAAACCAGAAATTATCAAGGAGTTCCTTGATATTTTTCCAGATGACTTGCCGGGTTTACCACCAGATAAAGATATAGAGTTTGTCATTGATCTTATTCCAGGGGTTTCACCTATCTCAAAACTACCTTACCAAATGCCGATAGCAGATTTAGAGGAGTTGCGAAAGTAGGTCCAGGAGTATCTTGATAAACAATTTATCAGGCTTAGTACTTCACCCTAGGGAGCACTAGTGGTGTTAGTGCCAAAGCAGGATGGTAGCCGAAGGATGTGTATTGACTACAGAGAGTTAAATCGGGTTACCATAAAAAATAAATACCCTATTACCAGGATTGATGATCTTTTTGATCAGCTTGGAGAGGCTAGGGTATTTTCTAAGCTGGACCTCAGGTCAGGCTACCATCAGCTGAAGGTGAGGAAGGAAGACATACCCTAGACTGCATTTTGCACATGGTACGAGCATTATGAGTTCCTAGTGATGCCGTTCGGAGTAACAAATGCTCCCTCTACATTTATGAGTTTGATGAACATGGTGTTTTCTCAATATGTCGACCAGTTTGTGGTGGTGTTCATCGATGACATTCTTGTATACTCCAAGACTGAGGATGATCATGCAGAACATCTACGGACGGTGCTGGAAATCAAGCGAAAGGAGAAGCTTTATGGAAAATTAAACAAGTGTGTGTTTTGGCTAGAGCAAGTGTCCTTTATGGGGCACGTAATTTCAGGAGCAGGTGTCTCTACGGAACCAAAGAAGGTTGATTCAATGTTGAGGTTGGATCCTTCTACATCTGTGACAGAAGTACATAGTTTCTTAGGGAAGGCTGGATACTATAGGAAATTCATAAAGGATTTCACTAAGATTGTAGGACCACTTACTAGACTGACTCGAAAGGAGGTCAAGTTTGTGTGGGCTCCAGAGTTCCAAGCAGCATTTGAGGAGTTAAAGAAGAAGTTGACAACAGCACTAGTTTTGACAATTCCTAATGAGTTAGGAGGATTTATAGTGCACACGGATGCTTCTAGTTTGGGTTTGGGTTGTGTTCTGATGTAACATGGCAAGGTAGTAGCTTATGCGTCTAGGCAGTTGAAGACACATGAGAGTAACTTCCCGGTTCATGATCTGGAATTGGCGGCAGTTATTTTTACATTGAAGCTATGGTGGCACTATCTTTTAGGGCAGAGAGTGGAGATGTACACAGATCATAAAAGCTTAAAGTACATCTTCACTCGAAAGGAGCTCAATATTAGACAACGCAGGTGGTTAGAGCTTATGGCGGATTATGATCTTGATTTACAATATCACCCAGGATGAGTTAATGTGGTGCCCGATCATTTAAGCAGGAAGCCTGTAGCGATGAGACTCACTAGACAGTGAGAGTTGCTAGCTGAGTTCTGGAGGATGAACATGGGGGTTATATTGCATGGGGTAGGGAGACAGTTGATGAGTTTACATTTACATTCAACTCTGGTGGATCGGATCACGGCTACTCAGTTCGAGGATGCTTGGTACCAAAAAGTTCAAGAAACAAGTGGAGTCTAGAGAGAGAACTGATCTACAGATACCTGAGGATGGATCCTTGGGATTCTGTGGTAGGTTGTGTGTGCCTAAGGGTGATGTTAGAAGAGAGCTTTTAGAGGAGGCGCATAGTTTAGTACTTTCTATTCATCCAGGAGGCACGAAGATGTATCCGGATTTGAGAGAGTATTACCGGTGGCCATGAATGAAGATGGAGATAGCCCGATTTGTTTCAAAATGCCTAATATGTTAGCAGGTGAAGGCTGAGCATCAAAGGACAGATGGGTTATTACAGTCCCTTCCTATTCCTGAGTGGAAGTGGGAACATGTTACGATGGATTTTGTCACAGCTCTACCGAGAAGCCAGAAGGGAAACAACACTGTATGAGTACTAGTAGACTGACTCACCAAGTCGGCTCGCTTCATACCATTTCAAGTTGGAGAGACAACGGAGAGTTTAGCCGAGTTGTACATGAGGGAGATAGTACGCTTGCATGGGGTACCGCTTAGAATTGTTTCTAATAGAGACACGCGATTCTTATCAAACTTTTGGAGGAGTTTGCAGCAGTGTCTTAGGACTAGACTGAGTTATAGCACGGCTTACCACCCTCAGACAGATGGACAATCAGATAGGACCATACAAATTTTGGAGGACATGTTGCGGTCATGCATGCTGGATTTCAAGGACTCTTGGGAAGATCACTTACACTTGGTGGAGTTTTCTTATAATAACAGTTATTAGGCCAGCATCCAGATGGCACCTTATGAGGCATTATATGGGAGAAAATGTAGATCTCCTACCTATTGGGATGACTTGGGAGAGCAGCGTTTGCTAGATCCTGAGATAATAGTGCAAACAGTAGATAAGATAAAGACAATACAGGAGTGCCTTAAAACAGCTCAGGATAGACAGAAGAGCTGGGCTGATGCTAAGAGGAGACCTCTACAGTTTCAGGTTGGAGAGCATGTTTTCTTGAGGATATCTCTAACTAGAGGAATCATCAGATTTGGCAGCTGTGGGAAGCTTAGTCCACGTTTCATCGGTCCTTTTGAGATATTGGATAAAGTAGGAAAGGTGGCATACTGACTAGCTTTGCCTCCATCCTTGGAAGGAGTGCATGATGTATTCCACATATCACGGCTTCGACGATATGTGCGAGATGAGACCCACGTCCTAGATATCGTAGAACTTCAAATTAGGACAAACCTATCTTATGAGGAGCGACCAATAAAGATTCTGGATAGACGTGAGAAAATTCTTAAGAATAGGACTATCCCTCTAGTATTAGTATCATGGGCACACCATGGACTTGGAGAGACAACATGGGAATGAGAGGATGATAGTCGTCAGTGTTATCCACATCTCTTTATTTCCGGTAATGTCTAGCTACTCAAATGCTTCGATTTAATTTCGAGGACGGAATTTTTTTTTTAGGTGGGTGAGATGTAATACTCACTAACCTTACATGTGGCTCAAAGTAAATACCTAAAATTTTAATTTTTGGGGAAAAAATAGGTGATATTATGACAGAAATAAAGTTAGGGGTTTTATGGGAGACATCCTCAAAAGTCCATGTGGTTTTGTGATTTTGACCCTATTGATGCGGCATAATTATGTACCAAAATATGTTGCAAGTGCACAACCGTGTCAAGTTATAGTATAAAGATATCGATCACGAGGAAGGTGTTTTGGAGGAGAAAATATAAAATCGGTTCTTATGTTGTGTGCGTGACAAATAGGAGTGATGAGTGAATGTGATTGTGGAGAGATAATGATAGTGAAAGTGATAGTGTGTAAATCAATGTTTTTGAGAGTGGATGTGAGTAAAAAAAATAAATGTGATCAACAAGGCAAGAAAGAAGAATGAATAAAATCGAGAAACAAATAAAAAATCAAGAATGTAAAGATAGCGGATTCAATTAAAGATATGGGTAATCTAGAATTGAATCCACTTCTTAGAAAAAGGTGATTCTCTAGAGGGTTCTAGCCTAAAGGCGAATCAAAAAAAGTAAAAATAAACAAAAAGAAAAACTAAACCCAAGAAGGTTCTAGCCACAACGTGAATAGTGCAAGAAATTAAAATATAACTACAAAATAAATTGTAAAATGTAAACTACAAAAGAGGAATAAGAATGTGGATCTACTTTAAGGCCGGCAGACGTCCTTATCTACAGTTGGAGCGGGGGGAAGCACGCTTGTGTTGATCTCACGGGGGTGTCTCCATTGATGGGATTTGGTAATGGAGTGTTCACTGTTGGGCATGCAGCGGATTGGGCGGTAGAGGCGAAGGTGGGCAAACATGATCAAGATTGCAAGGACAACCAACACAGTTTCATCCCGTTCGCGTTCGATACGTTTGGTTTCCTTGCAGCTGATGCGGTGGAATTCCTCAGGAGGGTACAAAAATTTATGAACAAGAATGTGGCGACGGCGGGATCAGCTGAGTATGTGTTTCGTAGGCTGGGTTTTGCAATACAGAAAGGATTAGCGGCGCAGCTTGTTGCCCGCTTGTCATCATCACACGTGTAATATATTTTTATATTTATATTTAATACATTATAAACTAAAAAAAAACTAATACTCTATAAGCATGAAATAAATCTAATCTATGAGCATGAAATAAATCTAAGGCAAGAGGGTTCTAGCCCGTTGGCTATTTAAACAAGAAAATAAAATCTAATTACAAGCATGAAAATAAATCTAAACTAATAAGCAATAAAAGAGGAATAAGAAAAACAAACCTTCAAATTAATCTCCATCTTCATCTTCATCATCCAACAAAGAGAAGAAGAGAAAAATTTAAAGTGGTAAAAAAATTATTTTATTAATTGTAACAATAAATTACAAATTTGGAAGGTCTTCTCAATTAAGAGTAGCCCTCCTCTCCAAAAGGAGTTACAAAAATTTTCACACCCTCAATCCCTCACTCTCTACCCCTATTTATAGTAAACAACAATGAATGAGAGCCCTTGGATGAAGACTTAAGCCCTAAGGAATTATTTTTAGCCTTTGAGCTTTTGGGCTTGAATTCTTAGGCCTTTTTCTTGTTTTCTTCATTAATTCAATGGGCTTTTGCTGAAAGAAGAGATCTTGAGCTTTATTCTTCATTAACCTTCAAATTCTTCCCATAATTACTTCTCCAGCAAAGAAATTCAGACCGTGCTTCTTTGTACGAATATTTATCCATGATATGTTCTGATTTTAGAGATGTCATAATACAAAAGTTATAGATCTCGTTCTTAGCTTTCCAGAGAATGTTTATTTAGCCAATTCCGAGTTGATACGAGAGAGATATGACCAAAATACCAAACATTACCGAGATATCCAAATTGCATGATTTGTTTCCTTTTTCACAAAACTTCTTCATTTGTTCCTTGATGGTATATTTATTTTTCTTGGGATTTTGGGCTTGGACTTTTGGACATTTTCTTGACATTTTGGGCTTCAATGCTTCATTTAATATTAAAAAAAATTATTTGGCTTCATGGACTTTATTCTTTTGCTTTTGGCTTTGGTGTTAAATCAAGGGGCCTTTGTTGAGAGATGAGAGTTTGAGATTTATTCTTCATTAACCTGCAGTTAAACGGTGATAAATTCCTCCCAAGTAGTGATAGAATTTACGGGTAAGCTATACAGCCATAAAATGTGATTA